CGTATTTTTTGCCAATTTAGTTTGTACCGAGTTGCTCCTATTTCTGTCTTCTCTTCCACACTTCTTTCTCTATCGCGCGCTCTCTCTCTTTATGCATACATTTTTTCTCTGTCACTTTCTCTTTATTTTAATCTTTTCCACCATCATCAACTGCATTGTATTTTTGTTAATTCGGTTCGCAACACATTGCTTCAGTTCTTTTCTTCTTTCTTTCACTCTGCTTCTTTATTCTATTTTCACTCTTTGCTTTTTCTCTGCCTCTTATTATACTCTGTCACTTTCTCTTTTTTTTTTTTAATCTTTTGCACCACCATTAACTGCATTGTATTTTCATTAATTCGGTTCACAACACATTGCTTCAGTTCTTTTCTTCCTTCTTTCACTCTGCTTCTTTCTTCTTGCTCTCACTCTTTCCTTTTTTCTGCCACTTATTATACTCTGCTACTTTCTCTTTATCTTAATCTCTTTCACCACCATTAATTCTATTATATTTTTGTCAATACATCTTGTATCTCATTGTTCCAGTTTTTCTCTTTTGTCTTTCACTCTTTGTTCTTCTCCTTCTTTTTCTCACTCGTTATTCTCTCTTTCTCTCTCCTTTTATTTTAATTCTCTCTGTCACCACCAACTGCATCATATATTTGTCAATTCATTTTACAACCCATTGTTCCAATTTTTCTTTCTTTTCTTTCACTCTTTGCTCTTTTTCTTCCTCTCTCGCTCATTGTTCTCTCTCTCTTTCTTTCTCTCTCTCCCACTCTCAGTCAGTATATCTTTCCCTCTCTCTCCCCCAGTCCCTCTCTCATCGCCCCCCTCTCTCCCCCGCTCAAGAAGAATTAATTTCTTCTGGCGAGCGCCGATCTGTCCCGCGCCGGCGAAGTCCCCGATGCTAGTCGGTGCCCGGTGCCGATCGGCACGGAACGATCGACGATCAACGATCCAGAGGACACCACGTGGTGCGCCGCTGTGGTGCCTACTTGTAGTCGCGGTGCGTCGTTCCTCTCACGTAAGACCTATCTATCCGTCGTCGCGACAATCGACCGAATTGCCGGTGACGCCGCGAGTGCTTTGAATCGATCACGACCATGGATCACGAAGGGATCGTTTCTCCTGCGATCCAGGCAGCCTGACCGCGATTAGGCGAACAGGTGGCTGTCCCACTGATCCTGGGACCGCAGCTGTCTTAGGTTTTTTCGCACTCATCGTTCCCCGGTGAGTAGATTCGACGCTCTTTCACTCTGAAGCGATAAGATAGATCTATGTGTATGATCGTTGGACTTTCTAGTAGAGCCACTCAAATTGATTTTGCGTGATTCGCAAGATTGCAGAAGTTGTCAAGGTTCGGAGATGCGCTTGCTTGCAAGTGCAGTCGTTCAAACATCGGCTCGACTCGAAGATTTTTCTCTTCGCAGCGATAAGAAAATTAATCTATATAATGTTTGGATTGTCTAGTAGGAGGACACAAAGTGACTTTGCACGATTCCCGAGATTGCATAAGTCGTCAAGGTTTGGAGATGCACTTGCAAGTGAAGTTGTTTAAAAGTCAGGTTGACTCGAGGATTTTTCTGTTTCACAAGCGATGAGAAAATTGATCTATACATTAATCTATGTGCTCTTTGGACTGCCCGTTAGAGACGTACGAAGTGGTTTTGCATGTTTCACAAAATTGCAGAAGTTTGTCACGATTGTAGGATGCACTCGCGACTGCAGCGTACGTGCTGGTATTTAACGCGACGATCGAACAACTTATATATCTGCACGTTCATGAAATAATTATCAGTAATACACATAGAGAGTTCTCACGTAGGCGATTATACTTGCGGTGATCATCGACATTGTTGGAATACCTCGACCCGTAGCATAATGATTCTAAATCGAAATAAATCTTTCTCCGGTGTAAAAACGATGTCCGGTCGAATTAATGCCGAATATAAAATCGCAATCGTCGCCGCCGTTTCGCCAACAGAAAGTTGATCGACTGTGTTGTAAAAACTGTTGAGGCTCTTTCGCATAAAAACCTCGCGGAATGACACGTTAATGATAAGCCTGGCGCGTTCACATTTTTTCTTTTTTTTGTTTTCCCCGGTTTCGTAACGCTCGCGCGCGGAATGTCCTCGGTTACGCAACTCGGCGTCCGGCGCTGCAGGATGCACTCGCGCGCCGAAAACCAGAAAGAGAGGAACAGTGGGAGGAAAAGAGAGAGCGACGGAGAGGAGACCGGCAGACGGTGCATCCTGCAGACCGACGGTCGGCAACCGGCAAAGCGAGCAGCGACCCGCGATAATATCGGATGACGATAATGGGATAACGAGGCCGGCGATAATTAGCAGCGGTACCGGTGCCCGCCGAGCCCACCGACCCTGTCGATCGTTAACTCGGGATTATTAACGTCCATCCTCTCCCCCTCCCTGCGCTCCCTGCATCCTCTTATCCTCGTTCCCCGGCCGTCGTCGTCTTATTCGGTCTATTACGAGCTTCCAGGCAGCAAGAATCCAGGAAGAGGATTTCTAGGGAAGAAAATAAACATAGGGAGACGGGGCCGCCATCTTTAGCGCCTGTTTCAGGACTTCCTGGTTTTGACCCTTTGCAAATGTCTTTGAACTTGGACGATCCTGACTTCCAAGTCGGTGAAGAGTTTAGGGGCTTTTGAGTGATGGTTTAGTCTCGCGACTGCGATCTGGGTGTCTCGAGGTTTGGGGGTACTTTTTTAGAGCTTGCTAATTGCTGAGAGGGTTTTTGGGAATCCCGGATTTGCTGAGAGAGTTCCACAAATTTTGGTGACTGCCTAGAGTTCCTAAAAAGTTCTGATCGAAGCTGACAGTTTCCCAGTGGGTTTTTGGAATCTTAATAATTGCTCGCTGTGTTCCATAAATTCTGGCAGCTGTTGGGAGGTCTAAAAAATCCTATTGCCTTTTGAGTGCGATCTACTAACCTTAGTAGTCTCTGAAAAAAATCCAGGTGGGCCTGGTAGCTGCTGAGAGGATTCTAAGATTTTTGATGATTGCATAGGGGGCTTAACAAATTCTGAAACCAACCGAGTGGGATCTATGAGGTGAATTAATCACTGAAAATTGTTCAAATGTTCTTTTCGAAGATCCTGATAGCTCCTGAAAGGATTCCAAAAATACTGATACCTGCTGGGAATGTTTCAAAAATTGTGCCACTTACCAAAAAGGTTCTACAGCCTTCCTTCCCAGTATTTTCTAAAAAATCCTAAATAAATCTAATAACTTCTAAAATGGTTATGAGTAGCCTAATAATTTTTTAGAGGGTTCCGGGAATCCTGGTAAATTCTGGGAGTATTCTAGGAGACTCTGTATCCTCACAGAATTTTAATGCATGCAAGTATACCACGCGACCGTTTACATAACAATACACGAAGCGTGCCGCGTGTTACTGTTACAGGTCGGTTCCGCTTCATTCGTGGCGCGCGTCGAAAAATCAGTCTCTCGCGAGGACAGTGAGGAGTGGGGCCCTCAAAGCGGAACGAGGGACGCGAGGGAAACGCAATATTCGCCCGGTGAAATGAACACCTCTCGGTGTTGACTTACGACGATTAGGGAAAAAATACGCGCTGCCGCGTCGATTACGCAAGCGGTGTGTGTTTGTAACGGAGCCTGACGTAACGCTACCACCACACGTTCAATTTCTGAAACGACCTGTACACGTCACGAGTAAAAATAAAACCACATCCTCGTTGCGAACCGCTACGTCTGGGGTACTCTGTCAGAAAATATTGCCATGCGCGCCGTACAAAATTTCCTGGTACGGTGCACGATCAGCTTTGAGACGCCCTGTATATCGTACAGATAAAAATGCTTCGCATTCAAGTTAATTCACGATAATTCAGTATATTTCGCTACTATCTTTGAACGTACGAAGACGTGCCCGCATTTTCACAGTACAAACTGTCCAATCAGAGGACACGTTTAATTTTGAAACGCCCTATACATGCTCCAAGTGAACAATATTTATTTCCAACAAAGTAACCGACGTTGTCCGAAGTATTTTTCTGCAATTTCCGGACGGGAAACGCTTTGACGGTTGAATGGACAATTTCTGGTGCCTGGTTCCCGATTGTGGACCGGCCTGTAGGAAATGTAAACGGCGCATAAAAGACCTCTGCATCGGGATCAAAAACGACTAGAGCGTCGAACGGTTCGCGGGGGCCGACCGCGGAGGGAATTGGTTACGGTCGTTGCTCCTGGCAGCTTCGCCGCGTCGGTTCTTCCGCTCCGAAGACGACGGCCGCCGGTTCAAGATCCCTCGTTCGGTTTGCCGAGTTTCGAGGGCTCCGTGTAAACGACCGAAATGGAGATTCGTCGGCGCCGAAACGCGGCGCGCTCCGTCGCCGACGGTTCTCCCATGGAACCGGAGACCGCGGCATTCTTTCGAGAATGGGGCACGAGTCACGTAATGTGGAAGCCGAGATGGCCGCGGGCACGCACGCACCACGCCTCCAAGATCGGTTTCTCGTAATCATGGTAACGAGACACCCACGAACGAAACCGCGGCCGACATTATCCTGGCGCCTGCACGGCGTCATCCGGCAATCGTCATCGTCAACTACCGGATTCGATCGATATCCGACGACCGTTTTAATGATGCTCCATTGACGCACGCTAATGAACCACGCGATTCAGGACATTTGCCGTCTTGTTTCAACTCTGTATCTTGATTAGGATGGTAGCTGGAGCCGACGATCTGGATTATCCGAATTCGTTGCGATTTTCCGAACGAATCCGGTGCAAAGGTTTTCGGAAAAAAATCTGGTGCGTTGACGTTATCTTGGTACACGTTAGGGAATTTTTTCAGAATTTTTCGTTCGAAATTCTAGTCGCTAAAAATTCGAAAGCACATCCAGAATCTCTTGCATCGAACGCCACCGTGCTCCGGCAGAGCGATTATTTGTTTGACCCTGGCTCTTGCGAATGGTCAGCAAATAAAAAACGAGTATTTTGCAACGATAGATGGCAATGCCGGTTTATTTTGCGTTTCAGGCGTCGTCAGCAATTATCACGAGGCTGAGGAAGCATGGAGGGGACAAAGGACGCGGTCAATGACGACTCCCAGGGATCAGAGACTCCACAGCAGCCTGGTGAAGCGACAGACCAACCGGAGAGACTGCGAGTCCTCTCGGTGGACAAGGTCACCGTCGAGAAATACGTGTTAGAGTCCTCTTCCGGGTCTCGCGAAGTGTTCCTGACGAAAAACGAGACATCCCGAAAACTGTCGATCAAATCCGAGCCCTCGAAAGCAGCTCCAACGAAACCAGATCCTCCAAAACCGAGCCATCGTGTCTCTCTCCCTGAAGAGACACTATTGAAGGACGTCTCTAGCCCTTCGTCGACTTTTAAGAGCCCAGGGAACAGCCTGGAGAAGAGGATCAAGCCGATCAGGCTGACGAAGAGCCCCTCCATTGGCAGCATCGTGGTCAAGAATAAAATTCCTCCCAAGGTCCCAGCGAAACCGATCCTGAAGACCCCTGTCCTTGAACCTGAAGCTCCAGAGAAGCCAAAGGACCCCGAAAAGCCCGAAGATTCGAAGGACCCGAAGGTAGAGGATCTAGAGAAGAAGGAAAAGGACGCCAAGGATCGGCTGGAGCGAAGCCAGTCGAAGATAGAGGACCTTCAACAGCACCTGAGTACCAGGATCGACGCCACCACGGCGGAGCAGTACAAGAAGTTGTTGGAGCTGAGGGCTAGCTGCGGTCTGAAGGTCGTGGTTGATTCGAACGCGAACGAGAAGCCGCTGGCTGAATTCGATGAAGAGTTCTTACGTAGACAAAGTCTGGACAAGCAGTTGAGGATCGAGGAGCAGGATCTGGGGCTTGAAGAAGCGGAAACGGACACCCAGAGAAGGCCCAGCTACTCGAAGAAGGTCTCCGAAGTGGAGAAGCGTTGGTCAGGCGAGTTTCTGGAGCGACGTCGATCCTCTGAGTCCTCGAAGTCCTCGTACATAGAGGAGCTAGGTAGCGTCTCTTCAAGGGACAGCGTCGAAGAGGACCACAGGGCCTTGTTCAGTGAGGGTGCCGATGATCGAGGGTCGATCACCGAGCCGGAGGAGGCGCTGACAGTGGTAAGCAGTGACCTGGTCAGCACCGTAGACTCTGATTCTTGCCTAGAAGACAGGATCAAGGCCGTGGACGAGGACATCGAGAGGATCGACGATGAAGAAGACGACGATGTTCACCGAAGGATTCCGACTGATAAGCATCAGTGGAGGAAGGATCGGATCCTAGAGTTGATGCAGGACCACAGAATAGCATCCTCGACGGACTCCATCGACCTCTTCATCAACAGGAGCTCACCGGGCAGGGACGGTTACGCAAACTTGATCCGCGAGTTCAGCATGGAGGTCGGCTGCTCGAGGAAGAAAGAGGAGAAGCAGAAGAAGAAGCTGGGCCTGCGCAGACTGCTGCCCGGTTTCTTCTCGCCTAAAGACTCGCGCAAGGACTACAAGAAGAAGGAGGCCAAGGAGAAGAAGAGGCAGGACGACAGGCACTTCGCCAGATATCAGCAGAACGGCAACTACACGCGCTCCCCGGATACCATGAACTTGAACGAGGACATCAAAAGGAACGTGAAACTGGACAACAGTCTGAACGGGTCCATGATAGAGGAACGCCTTGACGAGATCAAAAGAGAGCTCTTCCCAGACCAAGGTCCCATCACTAGTACTCCGGATCACTTAGCTAGAGACGATGGGCAAGCCTTGCTGAGAGACAGAGCTGGTCAGCCTAGGTCTTACACCACAGACTCCAGCCTCAGCTCCATAGCTCCGGATGACCGCTGGGCTGAAAGGAACGCTTTAGGGATCTCTCCGGACATCAGGAAGTTTGAGCAGAGACAGAAGCGCGAGGAATTCGGACGAGGACAATTGGAGCGCAAGCACAGTCTTCAGGAGCCTAATCACCATCGGTACTTTTTCCATAGAAACCATGGCCCTTCAGGAAGGATCTCTGCGCCACCTACTGAACGGTATTTAGTCAGGCCTAGAGCCATTCATCCAGTAGACAGACCACTGCCAGCCATTCCCCATTCGAGGACTGACCTGTACGAGAACTACCTCGAAGAGAACAGAGAAGCTGATAACATGTACGTCCAGAAGACATTCTCGAACGTTGGACTCTACGAGAACGACAACGCTTCGGGGTTGATCCTAAAGTCAGTGTCCGCTCAAGTGAAGATCACCAGGCAGCCTATCGTGAACCCCAATAACCGAACTCCAGTAGCCAGGTCGCCCAAGTACCCTTCTCCAGGGTCTAGCCAGAAATCCGGAGACTATGCCGACTCCAGCTGTACGCCTAACTCCAGCCAGAAGAGCGAATTCTCGCCGTCCAGCTCCAAGAGCGGCGAGTATTATCTTCAGTCTCCTGGAAACTCGCCGACGAACACGAAGGATCTTGACGAACGCGATGGGATCTACGAGAACGAGAAGTCGCCCTCTAGGTCCTCTACCAGATGCATGGACGAAAGGATCTATGACGTGACGCCATCATCACCTGGCCATTCGACACCCATCAATCAAGAGAGGCCTTCGGAGTCTACTGGCCTTAGTCCCTCGAAAAGCTCTCAGAGCGTAGACAGGTCTCAACGATTAGAAGGGAGGTCATTGGACATTTGTCCAGGTGCAGGACCTTGTTCTCCAGGTGCACAGGGCAAGGTCAGAACACAGCCAGCGCCTAGAAGAGCACAGCCTAACGATCAGATCCTAATAGCATCCCCCAAGAGGGATCCACCTTACGAATCTAGGATCCCCAGGCCTTCCAATGATCCTAGGTCAGTCGAATCTCCAGGGTCAGCTAGGCTTCAGTCTTCCGGACCCATGGTCCCCAAACAGGATTACTCTCCACCTAGGATGACCTTCTCCCAAGGTTCTGTCTCGAATTTTCCCGCGGAGATGCCTCGGCCACAGCCAGTTTACGTACAAAGGGGGGATATCAGTCCACCTGGAGACTACAGACCCAACCTACAGAAGAAGGAGGAGGACAGGGTAGCCTGGGTCCAGGGTAGAACCTCTTCCCCCACTCCTGCACCTAGACCAGAGCAAAGTCCTCAACGAAGTCAGGTCCTGGAGAAGACGAACCGCTTGGACCTGCAAATAGAGGTCCAGAGGCAGCCCCAGCAAGTCCAGAGACCCAAGATCTCACCAGGTCAGGTGAAAAGCAGGGTCTCCAGCCCTGGACAGAGAGAGTCCCGCTCCCCTGATCAGCAGCGCCGGCCAGACGAGGTCCTGTACGTCCAGCGAGTGCCAGAGCCGGTGTACGCGCAACGTGGGGCGACTTCCCCGTCGAAGCAAGAGACCAGGCAGCACCTGGAGGCCTTCTACTGGCAGCAGAAGGCTCTGGAGGCTCAGAGGAAGTCGGTTACCTCGCCGACAGCGACCAACCTCCGGCAGATCGGGAGGAAGATCGACTTGCCCGAGGTGAGAGAGGCTGTGTACTGGCAACAGCTGAAGAAGCTGGACGAGGAGCAGCAGAGGAGGATCTACGAGCAGAACATGGCCGAAGAGGTAGTCCATAGAGCTAAGAGCCCAGCCAGATCTAGACAAGGCACCCTCCGAGCTCCTGCTGCCTGTGGAGAACCTAATCCTTGGCAAGACAGCATGAGGAGGGGGAAGGGTATCGTAAGTGGTAAGCCGCCGCTGATGCAGAGCCAGAAAGGGCCTAACCAGCCGGTGCTGATAGTCAGGCCCCAGCAAGCGATCAGGGACCGCAGGGAACTTCAGACGAAGCCTTTGGACCCTGACAGACTAGAAGCTCAGAGGTCCAAGAGCGCCTCCCCCCATTTCCATAGAGGCAACGAGCCTCAGAGGAAGCCTGAAGCTGCGAGCTACGAGGAGTCCAACGATCCTGATGCCAAGGTTCCTCATCCCATATTCAAAAGAGGGAGTCTCATCAGCGGCGAGTCCGTTGACTATGGGACCACTGGGGGCGCCAAGAGGGTCAGTTTCTCTAATCAGTCTTCTGTGGGCCAGGATCTAGCTACCGGAAACTGGCCTACCAAACATGGCACTGCTCCTGAACCCCCTACCAGGAGACATCGTAGCGAAGATAGCACTTCGGACACGGATTCGGTGTTCTCTCAACATGAACGTCGCGAACAAGCACACTGCGCTGAATCCGAGTACGACGCTGATAGACCTTTGCCCCCTCTGCCAAAGGATTCAACCTCCAGGACACCTGGCGCTGTCAGGAGCAACGTTCTTGGGGATCTCAGGTGGCAGGACCCTCGGAGGGCTACCAGTCCTCCCGGCACTGACCCCATGCGACTGCCTCGTCAGAAGGGTGAGTTGTAATTTATGTTTGTTAGTAGTAATAGTGGTTGGGTCTCTTGCGACCCACCGGACTGTTTTGTGGTAGTTAAGGTGGATAGGATAGACGTATCAGTGACGATTTAGCCTTTATTCGAAGGCCGGTGGAATGGCAAGAAAAATTTCTAGAGCAAAATTGCTGATACGTATTTAAAAGCGAAGGGTTTGCACTTAAAATTAAGTTAAGATACGTCGTCGTGCGATTTTTTTTCGAGAAGTTACAGTATCTTGAAAATCGTCAATTTTTCGCGCAACATTTAGTGAACACATAGATCATCCTTAAAAATGGGGATTTCACACTTTTGATTCAAAGTCCCACAGATTGGTTAGAAATAATCGTAGCTGCATCTTTTTGGCCTTGTCGGAAAGAGGAGACTTCATACTACAAAATCGCAGCACTTTCGTTCGCTACAAAAATTTTTTGGCTTTCCCAGGGGTGCCTGAACTTGAGAAATTTTCGAAATAGATAATTTTGACTCAACTTGTGACTGGTCAGGGTAAAAAATTTCTATCACAAAATAGCTGATACAACGTGAAAGCTGAGATTACACGCTTTAAAAAAAGCTTAGGTACATGATCCTATGATTGTTTTTTTACTAAAGTAACAGTAACTTGAACATTGACGATATTTCATTTATAACGAAGTTGCTCAAACTGTAGCATAGCAGGCGCACTGTTCATTCAAAGCAGGATAAAACAACAACAAAGAATCGCAGCTCAATGAACGAGATCTCGTTAGAAAGAGGAAGCTTCGCTGTTTGAAACGAGTTCAACCAGACCGCCGCGAAACTTTATTCCCAGAAAGTTACGATCGTCCAAACATCGCCAGAATCTGAGCTGTTCGAAGGTTAATTACATTTCGCAAACAGCCCGATTTTATGTGACGCAACTTCGTTTGCGGTGCTCCGAAAACCTGTTAGGTTAGGGATGATGGGTTCGTGGATCGCGTGTACTATCTGGATCGATTCGCGGCTGCTTCCGGTGGGAAGGCTCCTGCAGCTCGTAATTCCAGCTAGACAAGGTGTGAACCGCTCCTCCGCGTATGACTATGCATCTCAATGAGCCTCTTAGGGAGGACCGGGAGCGGCGCAGCACGGCGCGCAGGCACGTCCCGCGAGCACGGGACAAATCTCGTTCTTAGGCCTTAAGCCTCTTCCGCGCTCGAGGAGGACGGGCTCCGTGACGTCGAACGCGACGACAGACGGTATATTCCGTTCGCCGCGGGAATCGGCGCGCGACTTATCCGCGTGACTCCGAACAAATTGGAAAGCAGCATTTCAAACGAACCGACAGTCGAACTGGGTTCCAAACAAACCGCAACCAACCGCTCGGGATCCAAGCCGCTCGAAGCAAATTCCCCGGCCAGCCGGGCCCGAACAATCGAACGTTCAATCAAATCGCGCCAACTTCGGGGAAGTGCATCGCATCCCAATCAAACTTCGGCAATCCAGTCTCATTAACCCGCTAGCTGGAACAATAAATAACCATCCCGCGGGGTCGATATCCATTCCGGCTGAGGTGGGCCCCGCTAAAAATCCATCAGCCTCGGTCAACACGAATCAATCCGAAACACGCTCATCATCTTCGTCGAAGGCTAGAGCGGGCGGGCGGGTTGGGGGGAGGGGTTGTCCGTAAAACGCTCTCTCCCGGCCCATAAACCACGAACGGCGGTTAGGTCACGGTGTTCGCGTCAAAGAGGTAGTACTTCCGTCGAATGTTTTCGGTGCAGCTAGTGGCAGGTTTCGTTCGACGTCGGAGCGAGCCAGCGAGCGGGAAAGAGAAAGAGAGGGGCGCCGGGGGGAGGTGGTGTAGCGGTGAGGACGATGCGTTGGGAAGCGAGGGTGGTGGGCGTTCGGGATCGATCTGGGTTCCCGTGACGTCACCGCACTCGCTAGACAGAAACGGGACTAGGAACGTACCGCGATGGTGGGGGGGTCCTCCGGAGCGAGTGAGAGGCAGCAGAGAGGGGGAAATAAGGAGGACAAAGGGGGCCGGCCGGCCGGTGTAGCGTGTAACGGAGCAAGAAGAGGCTGCGGCGGAGGGGAAGGTGCCGGGAGCCGGGAGCCGGGACTCGGGCAGATCCCGGCGACGGCGACTCGGTTCCGCGGGTTTTCGACGGGAGGAGGGGGGAGGCTCTGCCGGAGTTGGCGCACCCTGTCACACTCGCCTAGCTAGCGGCCGGCTCAGTGATGGTAGCGACTGGCGGCTGGTGGTCGGGGGTGGCTGCTGGCTCTCTACCTGTGCCGCTCTCGCGTCTTATTCACCGGGGTAACTGATCGATCGCGACCTTCGAGGACCCTCGGGACCTCGCCGGACCAGTGACGGTGGTCCTCGGCCGCTGGGGACATCGCTTGCCGATCCGAGGATCGAAGTTAGGGGGCTCGGTGCTGCCGCCGCGCCGAGCCGGCTGCCCCAACCCGGCTGTCAGACTCGCACCCGCTCCTCCGGCGACCGGTTCGGCTTCTCTTCTCTCGTCTCCGCGTTCGGCTCCGGTTTCCGGTGCGCCCTCGATGTCCCCGGTCCGCGGCGCGTCCTCCCCGGTGCACGCCGATCGTCCGTCGACGCGACCTTGACGCCTCTCGTTCTCCGAAGTGCTCGGACACAGTGATCTGATCGGGCTCTTGTTCCTTCTGTGCGCGAAGGGCAGAGAGGAGCCACCGGACCGACCGCTAGGCTATCGATCCCCGCCATGGTGGACCTCACCGTGCTCAGGATTCATCTGATCATATTCCTGGTGCTATTCCTGCTGATCGTCTTCTTCTCCCTGCTACTGTTGTCGTTCTTCTTCCGGGTGATCCTGTAATTCTCGGACACCACTGCCCCGCATATATCAATATATACGTACATAGATTGTTATCGTTAGAGGGCGGTTTTTGCGAGGGAGGACAATCCCCCCTGCACATTGTCCCGATCGTGGCGATCCCCCAGCTTGTGCGGAGGATGTGCGCGTAGCTGTCGGAGTGTGTTCGATCCTCGGCTAGGGTCGGCGTCGGAGGGTAACCGCGAGGAGTCGCTTCGCTCTCTTCGGTTTGACCCAGTGATCCGGTTCGGCCCGCGGCACGCTCGAGTACGCTCACCCCCGCGCCGCCGGTGTGAAGCTCCCGGCGACCGGAAGATGGCGACGTCATGGGCGCCGGGACGCCGCCGTCGCCGCGACTGTTGCGCCCGCGTCGACCGGAAACGGTAAAGCGCGTCTCGTTCTTGACACGACCCGAGGTCGCGTGCGTTTTCCCCTAGGATAGAACAAAAGAGAGACGGAGAGAGAGAGAGAGAGCGAGAGAGAAAGATAGAGATCGAGAGAGCAAAAGAGAATATAGAATATCGTTCGCTTTGCTAGTTGGTAGAGGGCTCGAGGATCGATTCGCAAGCGTAGATCCCTTCCGTGCCGCGTCCCTCTGCCTACCGGGTGCTCGTGATCGGACGTGACCGAACGAGGAACGATCGAAGACGCGTGTGTGATGAACGAGGCGGGCAGCCGGCGACAGCGAACGCGCGCGACGCGCCACGATCGTGAGACCACGCGATCGGGATCGAACGGGATCCGCGGGCTGCTGTGAATCCGATCTACTACGGGCCGTTCGCCGGTCACTGCAGGCTAGTTCGAACGCGGTCACAATGTCCATGCTCAGCCGCTGGAAGAGCAAGGACAAGAGCTCCGGCAAGAGCTCGTCCGTCGGACCCGGCCTCGGCAAGAAGAAGCGCAAGGTCGGCAGAGAAGGTAAGCGGAATCTAGGAGAAAGTCGTCTTTCGGGCTTCGGACCGCGGAAAAAAAGTGCTGGGTCCAGTCATAAATAACTTCCGACGCGGACAAATGGAATCTGTTGTTCGTATCTACTCGCTGCGAGTAGTATCTACTCGCCCGACGAGATTTTGCTTTCGGTGAATAGATAAGGGTTCGAAAGAAACAAACGAGAAACATAAAAGTGGATGGAAGAGGAACGAAATGTCCGACAGAAATACGGAAGTTATTTATGACTCGACCCAATGGTTACAAGTTTCACTGGTTCAGCTGTGAAGACTTGGAAAATTCGGGGGCACTTCTGAATCTGCGGGAATTCTCGAGCACGAACAGATCTGGGGAAATTTTGATATCGCAAAGCTAGGGAATGGTCTCTAGGAGGCATACGGATGACAATTTCTAGTGGAATTTTCACATGTGCTGTCCGGGAAAGGGTAGAATAACGGAGGCAGTCGTACACGATGCAGAATAATTTTGATAGTCGAGCCTGTATGAGTGGGCTCGAATCAGAGTGGCGTAAGTCCCATTTTCGGAGATATAAAATGTTTTGAAATGTAATCTGTGCATAGCAGAACGTTAAAAAGGGAAGCGAAATAAGTTACGAAGTTACGAAGTTACTGTAAATTGACTTGACACGAAATTATCTTAGCAATTAATTTGGTCTGTAAACGATAGATGTGTTAGTAAACAATAATATTTATTGTTCTTCACAATGAGGAAAATTTTAGTTATGCAACTATCGTTCTAATCCACTCGTATGATTCTATGTATTGGAGAATTTTGAGATATTTGTTGTAGAATTTCTTTGAGGGAAGTTTGAGAACTTTATTTCTAGGAGACATAGGCGTATGCAGTCGCAAAATAATTTTGAAACTATTGTAACCTATTCTAGGAGAGTTTTAAGATATTCGTCTCTAGATCCAGGCAAATTTTGAGCTACGATTCCGCAGAGCTGGTAAAAATTCTCTATGAAAAACTCAGACGTCTGTTGTCCTAGAGGAATTTAAACATTAAAAATTTTAATCAAACAGCATGTTTTATAGGTTACTTTATTATTAAGTATATTTATGATGTTTATTATTTATACATGCGTATGTACATACGGTATATACATATATATACAATGCTAGATAATATGTATATAATATTTATTTAATGTCATTTTTCACCAAACAGTCGTCAACCTTTCCCTGCTTTTTTCATTTCGTTTCGATCATTAATGCGATGTCACGGCA